CCAGGAAGTAACCAGAGGAACTAGGGCAGGCAGTCAGGCTCTCAGGATATATCTAATATGGGTGGCAACCTGATCAACTAGAGAATGAGACTAGAGAACAAGATGACCCACAAACAATAGTGTAAATTACTAAAGACGGTCAATAGCCAGAGGTCCCACATGGTAGTCACTGGGGTTATGGCAAATGAAGACGCCAGAAAGAGACACAGGCATAGCCAGGGTTTCCAGGAATGGGATGACCACCATCCCCATTTGCCTGTAACTGAGGGGACATGGGGCTTTCAGTGCTACATCAGCTTTGCTGTGCAAACTGGAATGATTAGTTACTCTACCCAGAAAAAATCCAGAGAAACCAGGCTGTAGTCAGAGGTAATAAATATTGGAGGCTGTGGAAGAACAGAATCTAGTCATGGCGTGGAACACACAGAAGCAGTATACTTTAGTAGTTAAGAGCCCAGGCTAAGGAACTAGCCAGACTGGCACGACTTAAAAGTGTGGTTCATGGATCAGATACACAAACATCACAGGACAACAAATTAGTGACATCTGCAAGGAACTGTCTAAGGAGCACAGGAAGAATCCAGAGCCCAGAGAACAGTCAGTGGGGATCCGGCAGCAGCCAATCTGTATGAACCAGGGACAGTCAGGAAGAACAAAAGCTTGTAGGAATCAGGGAACACTGAGATAGGCTAGAGTTCCGTCAGAAAAATGGTGTCAGCAAGGCGTGGTGGCACATGCCTATAATCCCAGCACTTGGGAGGCTGAGATAGGATCGAAGTGAATTAGAGGCCAGCCTGGGCTACATAATGAGTTCAGGGCCAGCCTGGACTACATAGTGAGACACTGTATCAAAAAAAATTTTTAAAGAAAAATGGTTCCACAGAACAAGTATCTGCTAGAAAGACAGCATCTGAGGGAACACATGGCTGTCAGACAAAACAGGAAACTGGAGACATGGGCAGTTAGAGGTACCCAGGCACAGCTAAGGAAAGTGGTAAATAAAAGATCAGGGGATACCCAGAAGAAATAAACAGAATAGAAAATAGAGGGCTGGCTTTGGTTGCACACACTTGTAATCCCAGCACTGGGAGGCTGAAGCAGGAGGATTGCAAGTTTGAGCCTAGGCTGGCAACTTACTGACAGTGAAAACCTGTCTTAAACCAAACAAACAAAAAATGTAAAGAAGCACTTGGGATGTAGCTTAGAGTGTAGGACCTAGGTTCAATCCCAGTGGCAAGAAATGAGAAGGAGGGGGAAGGGTGGAAGAGGAAAAAGGAGGTAGGCAAGAGGGAAGGAAAGAAAGAAGGGAGAGAAAAGAAACAGGAAAAAAAGAAAAAGAAAGAAAGAAAGAAGAAAGAAAGAAAGAAAGAAAGAAAGAAAGAAAGAAAGAAAGAAAGAAAGAAAGAAAGAAAGAAAGACCAAAGAAGAGTCAGAGGGAACAAGAAATGGTCAGCTAGAGAACACTCAGAGCTTAGCAGCAGAAAGGGAGCAGGAAACAGCCTGGGGAAACCACAAACAGACAGCAAGTTGCAAAGGAAGCGTCTGTGAAGCAGGAAGCCAGAGGGAGGGAAGAACAGCTGCAGGGCCACAGAGAACACTTTGAATGGACAGTAAATAGCCAGAAAGAGCCGCAAAAGCTTAAAGCAGCTGCACTGACTACAAGCTTGTCAGTGTGAGTGCAACAGAGCAGCCTTGCATGTAAGTCACAGGGAGCGGATGTCTTACTTAAAGATGGGCAGTAAGGGGCAGCAGAAGCCTGGGATTCATCGCCAGCTGGTTCTCTAAGGCTCAGAAAAGCTACCTGGGTGGGTAAAGACTGTCTGTCTGTTCCCCACTTGTATCATAGCTGAAGGCCCCAGACTGCAGCTATCCCAGAGCAACCAAATTTATTGGGTTAAAGCATGGAAGGACATCCCTTATCTAGGGGGAATGGAGCAGAGGCCGGGCTATTCCAGCCATTTGCTCCGTATCTCAGGGTGTTGCATTTCCAGCTCATTCTACCATTGTTCTTGAGAATGGTGAGAAGTGAGGGAGAGCCGGATCAGTGCAAAGCCACCCCGAGAACTGTCCTGCAAAGGACCAGGGCATCCCCAGCCCAGGGAAACCTGCAGACTTGCTGAGCGTCTAGCCCCAGCTGGACACTGTGAGCAGGACCCTTACTGCACGCTTCCAGCCAGGCTCAGAAGTGGCCTGGAAGCCCTTCTCCTAGGCCCGAGGTTGAGTGGCAGGGCAGGATCAGATGACAGATGGGATACAGAACTGGCCTGGGGCAGGAGTGAGAGCAGTTGGAGGCAGAGGGCCTGAGTCCCCAGTTGGCTGCAGGGCAGGCAGAGCAGGTGGCTAGGCAACTGAGCACAGAGCAGGCAGTAAGTGGCTAGTCCTGACAGCCCACCCTCCCCTTAGGGGTGAGAATTCTGGAACTGAGATGACCCTGAAGGGAGACCTCACCTTGTGATCAGCTGGAGAGCAGTGAGGTGCTGGGACTGGGCTCCTTACCCAGAATGAGGAAGTCCCTGTAGTTGAAGGGACACAGCATCTTCCATAGTAGAAACTCCTCAGACAAATTAAAACCTTTCTGTGTGGCAGGTTAAGCTGGAATCTCGGTGGATCTGTTACCAGCTTCATACTCAAATATCTCCAAAGCCCACTTCAGCTGCCCCACATCTGCCTTGCCAGCAATTGCAGGATCCAGAGCTTCTGTCTTGGTGGAGGAAGGGCTCAAACAGGAGCTATGTCCCCTGTGGGCAGTGTACCTTGCCTATATTCCCTTTGCATCAGTCAGTACTCCTGCTCCCTGGCATGGTCTTTGTACACATTCCCGGTGCATGCGACCTTAGTGACTTCTAGGGAAGCAGCATAGTAGCTGAGGGTGGCTTTTCATCCGTCAGCTCAGGCTGTGGACAACAGGTAGCAGCAGCAGTTGTTAAAATATTTAACAGTATAATTTAAAATGTTGGTCTAAATTAAGTTGAAAAAGGAAAAATGTTTAGCAGCCATATATTAAAATATGTTAATATTTCCATGTCAGTTGGTAAATAACCACTCCACCCTCTCCCACGGAGCTCCTCCCCCATGGCTCAGTGGGAAAACACTAGACTAGCATTGATGAGGTCTTGGGTTCCACCCCCAGCACCACTAAGTCAGTAATAAAACTTTAGTTTCTGAACCGTTTGAACCCAGTCTGAATCACTTGAAGACATAATTTCCCTTTGGTCCTAAATGCATCATTCAATATGTATCTGTTAAGAATAAGAACTTTCTCTTTCATAACTAAAATACAGTTACCAAATCAAGAAATGTAATGTACAATCATACCTTTGTACTGAGCTTCTTTGAAACTTGTCAAATTTGGTACTCGACTGATTTTGATGAAAAAATTTTGTCTCAGGGGCTGCTTTGAGGCTGTATAAGTATCCCATTTCTCTCTTTTTTTTTTTTTTTTTGGTTTTTCTCTGGTACCGGGAACTGAACTCACGACCTTGCGCTTGCCAGGCAGGTGCTTTTGCCGCTGAGCTAAATCCCCAGCCCCTCCCATTTCTCTTTTACATGAAAATGATATTTTTCATGGCAAATGACAGAAAAGCTATTGTCCCCATACATAATTGTTTTTCTAGGAAATGCTTTTGATACCTGTATCAATTTGTAAATTTTTATTTCAATGTCATCTTTATATGGTTCATGTAAAGGATAGAGTGGTTAGTTCATACTGATAGGCATTGTACTGGTATTTGTTGTGCATTTCCTTAGCTGTAGATGTGATTTATGTTGACTCTGAGAACATTAAGGAAAATGCATTTCTAAATTATTTTAAATGACTAACACTATGTTTTATTTAAATGGAAGACTCTGTGCCAGTGAGATTAATACTGTAAGTGGTGGTCTATGTTTGTAACTCTTGCACGTCCTCTGTGAACGATAGTACACAAATATATTGAATTATCTTTAGTCACCAATTTATTTCAAGTTTTTTAAATGAAAGCAGTCCTTCTGTATTCTTTGTTTATATCTAACTTTAATGTGACCATTAAAACCGTTCTGAAACTAAAGCTTGTCTCCCCTTTTCACCAAAAAACCAATCCTGTTTCTCATGCTTTTGTCCAGTGACTTTAGCATCCATCAATGAACGCAGCTTTTCTTCTGCTGTCACCTGAACCCTGTAGCACATCTCCATGCTGGTCTTCTGGTCTCACCCTCCTCCACCGTTCCCCATGCTGCATCTTGATGACTAGCGCAGCTGTGAGGAGGATGCCTTTTCCTACACATCAGTGGCAGTCCATTCTCTATGAGACATAGACTTGTTCCTTGTTCTGACCCCAGGGCATTTCTATGGAATTTCCCTTGTATACTATACAAATTCCTTTCCTTTAGATAGAACTATTTGCAATTCCATGAAACTACCATATATTTAAATTTTTCCTTCTTTCATACTTTTGCCCCTGCTTCTCTCTTCTCTCTCTCTCTCTCTCTCTCTCTTTTTTTTTTTGTCTTTTTGAGACAGGGTCTTGCTATGCTGTTCAGGCTGGCCTTGACCTCACTTTGTAGCCCAGGCTGATCTTGAACTTGCAGCTGTCCTCCTGCCTCAGCCTCCCGAGTTGCGGGGATTACAGGCATGTGCCACCATGCCTGGCTGCTTCTCCCTTCTCAATAACTCTCCCCTGCTGTCCCCCTGTAGCCTAACTTTATACCATCCACAGCCCCATTTCTGTCTTCCTATGTTGGTTAGTCAAGTTTTTAAGTTATTTTATGTTTTACTCAACCCTGTTGCCTACCGCAATATCTAGCACATAACTTCAAGGAATGTCAAGCTACTTTAATAGGATATTATCTGTCATAAAACAAAACAAAAAAACAAAACAAAACAAAACTGGGAAAGAGTAGTTACTTAGTGAAGACCCTACGTGTTACATTACAATAAAAGTATTAGAAACAACTTCCTCTGTATCTTCCACCACCGCCCCCCAGATGACCATGTCGCTTTAAACAAGGTTGTGTTGTTACAGGTGTCAGTGTCACTAGAAGATGTGACAGTAGACTTCAGCAGGGAGGAGTGGCAGCACTTGGACCTTGCTCAGAGACATCTGTTCTGGGATGTGACACTGGAGAACTATTGCCACCTGCTTTCTGTAGGTAAGCAACAGGTGCCCTACGCATGTGCCAGGGCCTTCAAAGGGATTTCTATGCTCAGCCGCTGAGCACTGTGGGAAATCCAAAGTGTGTCACGATGTCATCCTTGGTGTGGCTAAGAATCTTCAGCCCTTTTCAGCTCTGTGATTATTTTTCCATTTCCAATCAAACATGGAGACTTTCCTGAAGAACTGATGGACATTGTCATTGAAAGGCCCCAAAGCCCTGTCCACTGGCCCCAATCCTGTATCATGTCCTGTTAATAGAGTACCAAGTTCCCAAAGCAGAAGCCATCTTCAAGTTGAAGCAAGGAGAGGGCTCATAGCCATTAGAGGGGAAGCCCCACATGAGAGCTAACTAAATGACATACCATCTTTTTTTTCACCCTATGTTCCTGGGGATTGAACCCAGTGGCTTTGCACTGAGCCACATTCCCAGCCCTTCTTTATTTTCTGATACACTGAGTCACTAATTGTTGCGGAGTCACTGATTTGCTCAGGCTCAGTTTAAATATGTGACCTTCCTGCCTCAGCCTCCCAGAGTGCTGGGATTATAGGCATAGAATACAGACTACTGGGCAGTCAATTTACACACGAAAGTTCCCTTCTGGGATGTGAGGGTTTTTCAGGGATACTTGGAGTGAGAGTCTGCCTAATCATTCAGTATTCTTAGCCTCATTGTTCTTTCTTCTTTTTGGTGCTAGGGAAGGAATCCAGGACCTCACCCATGTTAAATGTGCTCTGTCACTGTGCTATCATTTGGTCCAGCCTTCATCCTTTGCCCCAGGACCACCATTATATTCTCAGATCGTCTGCCCTAGTCTGGTCTCCCAGGAGCAGTGCACACGGACTCTTTCTTTCCCAGTGTTTCCACTGACAATTAACAATTCCAGCGTTTCCCAGTTTGGGGCCAACAATGGGTATAAAGTGGTATCTCATTTTTAACTTTTTATAGTACTGGGATTGAGCCCAGGGCATTGATAGTGAGCTACACACTTGACCCTTATTTATTTTTATTTTGAGGCAGGCTTTGCTAAGTTGCTAAATTTCCCAGGCTGGGATTGAACCTGTGACTCTCCTGCTTCAGCCTCCCACAGTGCTGGCATTATAGGCATGTGCCACCATGTAAGCCTCTTTTTGCATTTTTCTAGTAATGAGTTTGAGCACTTCATTATTTACCTGCTATCATTTTCTCCACAGGTGTAGTTGTTCTGAAGCCTTTTTGTTCTGTTCATGTTTTTCTTCATGTCCACGCAATGATCTAGAGATGCCAAATATATTTTTTAGTGGCGGTACTGGGGATGGAACCCAGTACATCACACATGCTAGGCCAGCACTCTACCACTGAGCAACATTCCCAGCCCTTTTTCTTTTCTTATATTGAGGCAAGGTCTAAGTTGCCTGGGTTGGGCCAAACTTGTGATTCTTCTCTTAAGTAGCTGAGATTATAGGTGTGAGCAGCCACATCCAACCTGTACTGAAATTTTGATGGCTTCTGTTGATCCTCAGTACACTGGAAATCAGAAGCATCACCTCACACATCAGGAACACTTGTCACCTCCCAAATTTTCTCATACTCTCTCAGTGTTTCTTCAGCATTTTCTGTTAGTCTTTTTTTAATCACTTGGAAGTTCCTACTGCTTTTCCTTTTTTTAAAATCTTATTTTGCTTTCTCAGTTCTTCTCAGTTCATTTCTAAGTTCATCTTCATAATAATCAGTGAGATCACTGAAATCAGCTCCATATACTGTATTCTCCTACCTGCCTCCCACATTTGATAGTTTTGCCTGACTCTGACTCTAGCCTGTGCTCTGTCTATTCAGATGATACATGTTCCACCTTGTGAGCAAATCTCACCTGTCCATGCAATGGCCGCTTTGATTTGTGGTTCTGGGAATGAAACGCTGTATCTCACTCAGGCTGAGCACACACTACAACTGAAGTACACCACACACATGCACTTGGTCTTAATGACCTCAGCATACCATGTGTGGTGCTCTCCTTCTCATCTTCCATCTCACGGAACTCCGAGCAGAGCATAGGAATTTTAACTGAGGGGTAACTGAGGCTTTTACTTCTATTATTTTAGAAAGACTTTGGGCTTATTTCTTTTTTAAAAAATTTAAGTTTTAAATTGGCAAATAAAAGTATATGTACTTGTCATGTACAACATGATATTTTGAAATCCATATCTACTGAGTCTGGTTTTTTTGCGGGGGAGACAGGGTCTCACTGTGTAGTTCAGGCTGCCCTTGAACTCACTGTGTAGCCCAGGCTGGCTTCAAACTCACAGAAATCCTCGGCCTCAGCCTGCTGAGTGATGGGATTACAGACATGTGCCACCACACCTGACGAGTCTGTTTCTTATTGTAGGACTCAGGATTTGATGAGGAGAGATAAACCTCACACTGATGTGAATAAGGGAAGTTTAACATAAATTTCTGAAGCTATAGTGCAAGTAGAGTATTTCAGTGTTAGGTAGTAAAGAGACTTTCAAAAAATAAAGGAGTAAGAGACACAAGGCATAGCCAGTCTCTTTAGGGCTGAGTAACACTCCATTTCTGTCACTATAACAAAATACATGAGTCTGGTAACTTACAAGGAAAGGGAGTTTATTTAGCTCACAGTTTGGAAACTGAAAGTCTATGGTCAAATCATCTCATGGCTATGGCCTCTGGTGAGGGCCCCCTTGGCTGATTTACCACATGGTGGACAGCATTATGGTGGAAGCACATTTGAGCAGAACTCCCTTGGCAAGAAAGGAAGCCATAGAAAAACTGGGAAAGTTATTCTTGCTCTGTATAACAGTCCCCTCCTAGAACTTAACCAGGATCGCATGAGATCCACATTCATACCTTCCAAAGTTACTGCCCCCAGTGACCCGGGCCTCTCCCACTAGGTTCCACCTGAAAGGTCTACCACCACTGAGCACCACCACACTGAGGTTCCAGCACATGAATCTTTGGACAACACACTCAAAGCAGATCCAAACCATGGCAGGCTGGATTGAGCATCCACAGACAAGGCTCACCTCCTTCCTAGGGCTGAGATCCTAACGTTGTTGGAAGGACACAGCCATAGCATATGGCGTGGCAGAATAGTTTCTATGGTGCCATGCTGCCAGAACTTGCTGGAAATCTGCTCTACCCATTCCAGAAAAAGCTCTTCATAGGGAGATGTCTCACTGGAGTAATTCTATTGTAAACCATCCCAGAGGAGCTCCAGGGTAAGGTGCTAGGTGCTGAGTGCTGCTGGCTGCAATGCAGTACAGTAGCTTAGAGCTGGAGAGGCTACTAGCGCTGCAGGGTCTGGATGCTTATGAAGTCCAGAGTTGCAGGAGCCGGGTGCCAGAGAATCATCCGTTGTACAGGAGCTCTGCTCAGAGAAGCCCCCACACTCCAAGGCTTGGGTGCCAGGCATGCTGTGTGTGTGTGTCAGGAGCCAGATGGCAAAGCCACCTGTACTACAGGAGTCTCTTGCTAGACAAGTAGCCTTGGCTGGAAGAGCCTGCTGAGTGAGCCCATAGAACCAGAAAGCAAAGCCGCCTGCTCCTGCAGTGCCTCTCTTGCGCCCTCTACTGACAAGATTTAATATTGTGCTGGCTGGTAAAGGAAAAATAGTTAAGGAGACTCGGATCCATTGTGGAGCAGGTGAGAAAGGGTGAATTTGGAGCCAAAAGGCAGTAAATTGATACATATTTTTTCAGACTTGTGAAAAGAAATACTTAGAAAAATTATAGTAAACTTAAATTTATTGAATGTGGGGACATGGAAGCCAGTACTTTATTCTTTTCAGAAGGAATTTTCAAGCATCTGTTCGGAGGAATTCAAAGGTCTGAACATTATACATGGGAATAGAGGAAAACTGGATGAAATATTAACAGTCTCGGGCTTTGGGTATTAGTCCTTTCTGTTGTAACATTAAACTGTGTCAACCCCAGTGTCAGTGTGAGCACTGTATTGCCTTCTCTAGAAATCCGTAGCAAACGTAACTTCTCCAGAGGTGTACTGTGATGGGAGCTAATGTCCAGGATACCCCATTGGAACGTGCACAGAGGACAGAAATAGCAAGCTAAATATGGACGTATATCATCTCCTGTGCAAGAATTCTGAGATGGACGGGTCCAGGTGAGCACGTTAGCTCTGACCTTGACAGGCCATTCGGAGACCTAATTCCAAGTCACTGTTCCACCATCTCCTAGGGCTTGGTTGTCACTTGCACCCTTAACCCTGGATCACTTTGGGGTCCACTGGAAAACGGGAAGAGGGAAGAGAGGTTTGCTCAGTGTCTTAGAGCCTGCCTGGAAGCAGCACTTGTTACCTCTTCACCTGCCACTGCAGAGAAAAGAGTGAGCCTGGTGAATGTAGGCTCAGCCATATTCAGTTACTACCAAAGAAGGGGAGAAGGGTTTGGGTGGGGGCTCGCAGATTCTGCCTCATACCGCTTTCCTTCTTCCTCTGCTTTCCTCCAACCCTCCACCCAGGACCTCATGTGCCCTAGACTAACACTGTATAATGGAACGACATCCCCAGCCCTTTTCAGACTTTTCTTTTAAGACAAGGTCTTGCTAACTTTCCCAGGCTGGCCTTGGACCCGTGATTTTTTTTTTTTTTTTTTTTTGCCTCAGCCTCCCAAGTACCTGAGACTACAGGTGTTTGCCACCATATCTGGCTCTTTAACACTTTTTGCTAGAAGCATGGATTTCTTGATCCAAGAGAAGTTTGCTGCTACTTACAGACTTAGAGCACAGACATCTGTTTACCATTTGTCAAAAAGGTGATGGAATAATTTTTCCACCAGTTTCAAGGAATTAGTGTTTGAGGTATAGAAATGTAATGTTGGTGCTCATAACGGCCCAGAGGGAAAAGGAAGAGGAAATAGAATTCACCGGTGTTTCAAGCTGATACGTAACCAGCATGTACGTTATGGAATATTGCTTCCGTGTCTGACTTCCCCTTAACAGGCTTCAATTTCTTCTGATTACTTTTTATCCAGATCTCCTACATAGCGGCACCAGATTCCTAGGGTTCACACAAGTGGTCACAGCAGCTCCCTCATAGGGTTCAGTGAAGAGTCAATGAACTACTTTATGGAAAGCTCTTGACACAGTATCTGATGCATCATAGATGGATAGAAGAATTCGCATCTGTTAAGTATCGTGCCAGAATTTTATTTTGCTACATTACTATTAGACTGTTCTGTTTCCCTTTCTTCAGCCTATTGAACTCCACGGACCCCCCTCCATCGTTTCTGCTTGTTCCGTGTGTCATCTTTATTTTTTGCTTTTTCTTTTTAGGTGAAGATATTGGGAAAAGTCAACAACAGGGAATTTCTGGAGAAGTTTCATTCTTCAGTGAGAGATTTGATAGACCCACAGGAGAAGATTCATTGTGTTCCATCTTAGAAGAACTGTGGCAAGAGAAAGACCAGCAACAGAGGGATCAGGAAAACCAGATTAGCCCTTTCAGTCATATCAAAGTATTAATTAAGGAGAGAGGCTATGAATGTGAAAACATTGAAAAAACAATTCATTTGATTACTAAGCTTGTTCTTTCAATTAAAAGACTCTGTAACGGTGACACATTTGTAAAGAGTTTGAAACATACTTTAAACTCACATGATCAGTACAACAGAAAACCTTGATAAAATTTTTGGAGATGGTAACAGTTGTTCTTCCTCTAGAAAGAATGAGCATACGATCACAGGAGCGAGTTCCTGTGAATGCAGTCAATGTAAAAAATCCCTCAGTCACAAACAAGCTCCCACCCACTGGCAGCAAAGTTATCCCGGGGAGAAATTTCATGTATGTACTGAGTGTGGAAAGGACTTCACCTGGAAGTCACAATTCTTGGAACATGAAAAAATTCATGTTGGAGAAAAATCCCATGGCTACAACAAAAGTGAGCAAGTCTGCACCCTGAAGCCACACGTTGAGCCAGATCAGAGTATTCACAGAGGTGAGAAGCCCTATGTATGTCCTCAGTGTGGGAAGGCCTTTACTCTCAAGTCAAACCTCATTACTCATCAGAAAATCCATAATGGGCAGAAACCCCACAAATGTGGCCAATGCGACAAAGCCTTTTTCCAAAAATCAGATCTCTTCAGGCATCTGAGGATTCATACAGGAGAAAAACCTTATCAGTGCAGTGAATGTGGAAAAGGCTTCTCCCAGAATTCACACCTCACTATACATCAGAAATCTCACGCTGGAGAGAAACACCATGCCTGCGGGGAATGTGGAAAAGCATTCACGAGAAAGTCAGCACTCTGGATGCATCACCGGATCCACACAGGAGAGAAACCTTCCGTGTGCACTGAGTGTGGGAAAGCCTTCATCCAGAAGCCACACCTCAACACACATCAGCAAATTCACACCTGTGAAAAACCTTCTAAATGCAGTGACTGTGGGAAATCACTCACCAAAAAGTCACAGCTCCATGTACATCAGAGAATTCACACAGGAGAGAAGTGTTACATATGTACAGAGTGTGGGAAGGTCTTTACTCATCGGACAAATCTTACTACACATCAGAAAACTCACACTGGAGAGAAACCCTATATGTGTGCGGAATGTGGGAAGGCTTTTACTGATCAGTCTAATCTCATCAAACACCAGAAAACTCATACTGGAGAGAAACCATATAAATGCAATGGTTGTGGAAAGGCCTTCATATGGAAGTCACGCCTCAAAATCCATCAAAAATCTCATATCGGAGAGAGACACTATGAATGCAAGGAATGTGGGAAAGCATTCACCCAGAAACCCACACTAAATGTGCACCAGAGGATCCACACGGGAGAGAAACCCTGTGTCTGTCCTGACTGTGGGAAGGCCTTCGTCCAGAGATCGCACTTCATTGCACATCATAGGATTCATACTGGGGAGAAACCATATGAATGCGATGATTGTGGAAAATGCTTCACTAAGAAATCACAGCTCCAAATGCATCAGAAAATTCACACAGGCGAGAAACCCAGTGTTTGTGCTGAATGCGGAAAGGCTTTCACTGACGGATCCAATCTTACAACACACCAGAAAATTCATACTAGGGAGAAACCCTACACATGCGGTGACTATAGTAAAACCTTCACCTGGAAGTCACGCCTCAATATACATCAGAAGTCCCACACAGGAGAGAGACACTATAAATGCAGGAAATGTGGGAAAGTGTTCATCCAGAAAGCAATAATGCTCAGTACGCATCAGATCATTCATACAGGAAGGAAGCCGTACACTTGTGCAGAATGTCAGAAGGCCTTCACTGATAGGTGGAATCTCATTAAACACCAGGAAATACACAGTGGAGAAAGATGCCCCGATAAAGCTGGTGACTGAAATAACCTTCCCGTGGCAGTTCCAGCGGAGTGTGCACGAGCTGTGGTTGAGGGGTGGGCAGTGCCAGGCGCTGCAGTCCCTGGGTGGTGGGGGGGCAGGTATGAGAGGCTGTGGCTGGAGTGAGTGGAAGGCAAGCAAAGCCAGATATCCTCCCACTGAGTAGAAAAGCAAGTTCCAGGGTCACCACTGTTGACATACATTTAAATGCAGAGTGACCTTCAGATGAAGCACTTGAATAAATAGCAAGTTTTTAAAAACACTGATGTTTGGCTACATGATTGGTATAGGGATTCTCAAGCTCCTTCAAATGGTAAAAATAAAGACTTGAGGAAATGACTTGTCATCTCTTACATTTCAGTTTTTGGGAAAAGGGCTTATGAATTCAGCACTGATTAGTTCTTCATACCTTGCTGCATGAAAGTACTCAACATTGGCCAGAATTGTTTCCCACTTTTTGGGTGGGGAGAAGAGTTTGCATTGTCCAAGCACTTGCAGGGCCCTGAAGTCAAGGGCAAACAGATTTGGGGATGCAGATCTATGAGTAGCACTGAAGGGTTTTGTTGTTGTTGTTGTTGATATTTAAGACAGAAAAGATTTCCAAGAAGAAGTTCTTTCTCTTCCCATGGGAAGTCACCATGTATATTCTTTTAAAAAGTAAAAAAGGATTTTTAAACTTAAAGTTTGACTTTATGAATTTGGAAATTAGGCATGATTCTGGCCTGTCATGGCAGTAGAGCTCTTAAAGGCGACAGACATCTATAGGTGGCACTTGTTCCCTCATTAATTCCCTGCTGTGGCAGCAGGGAATTCACACCCCACATGACTTCTAACCTGTGTCCCGGGCGCTATCATTTCTGTAAGCCTCATACCACATGCTTTGACTCCCTGAGTTACTGACACAAAGACAATAAAAGTGAGCTATGGCACTCTGACCGTTCAGTCTTGTCCACTGACTCCTCTACTTTCCTCGGGATTCCTGTTTGAAAAAGGATGGTTGAGAGACTGGGTTTCCATACACAAACTGTCTTCCAGTTTGGTTAGGATATTCATTTTCTACATGCACATTAGCTTTGGGAACACTTCCTTGGAAACAGCACTGCTTTTTTAAAAACACTGATGAAGAGGCACTTGCTCATTTTCCCTTAAATATTTTTCATAGTCTCATAAGAAAAAGACTTTCTACATGCAATTTTATTATAGTTTTAAACATTTTATAAGAATATAATGCATACAGAAAGTGAATATATCATAAGCCCAAAGCTCAGTGCATTCTAAAAAATCAATTTACTCAAGTAAAGAAACAGAACATGACCAGGGCCCCAGAAGCCCTCCCTGCACGCTCTTTCAGGAAGTCCCCCAAACACACACACCAAGGGTAAATAATATCAGTCTAATCTAAATGTGCACCAGAGGATCCACACGGGAGAGAAACCTTATGTCTGTCCTGACTGTGGGAAGGCCTTCGTCCAGAGATCGCACTTCGTTGCACATCATAGAGTTCCTCAACACACTGGCATCTGTTAAGTATCCTGCCATTGTGATGGGTGTAGGGTGATATTGTGGTCTGAGTTTTTATTTCCTTGTGTTTGAAACAATTGTGGTATTCCAAGAGAGGCAGACCAGTCATGTCAGATCTGGGATCTACCAGTAGGTATGTTCCTCATATGGCTACAGCATTTTACATTCCTAGCATGATTTATGGGGGTTCCAATTTCTTCAGATCCTCACCAACTGTTGCTTTGATCAGCCTTTTTTTCCCCACTAGTGCAGGGGATGGAACCTGCATCTGCTAAACCAATGCTCTATCACTGAGCTGCATCCCAGCCCATAGAGTCTATCTTAGTGAAGCTATTCTATTACATACAAATTGATATTGCCATTAATTCACATTGCTCTAAAGAGTAATGATATTAATCATCTTTTTGAGCATCTGATGAAAGTTTGTGTTCAAATTTTTTGCCTTTTATTCTTTTTGTGTTTCTTAAGGTTCAGCCCACTGACCATTGTATTATTATGAAAATGACCATTTTGTGTTTTGCAAAAATTTTCATCCAAATGTCTATTGAGCCAGGAATTTGCGTAGCCACTTCAGCTCTTCTATTACTCTTTGCATGTTAGATATTTTCCATCCTTTTATTTTTGATACATTTATAGCATTGAATCTAAAGTGTGCCTTTAATGATAGAATGTAGTTAGAACCTATATTTATCCTGTAATAAGACCCTGTAAGACTCTGCCTTTTTTTCCCAGTGCTATGGTTTGAATCCAGGCCCTCACATGCTAGACAATTGGTCTACCACTGAGCTACACCCTCAGCATAAGTCTGTTTTTGATTGAAGAATTTAGTCCATATATTCAAAATATAATTTATTAATATGGTTGCATTTACATTTGCCATTTTGATACTTGTTTTCCCTGCATCCCATATCTTTTTTCTTCCTCTTCATTTTTTATGGTAAATTAGTATTTTGTAGTGTACCAATTTAATTTCTTTATTGATATTACACACAGTGGTTGCACTGAGGATTACAATATGTATCCTAAATTGGAAAAACTACTTCAAATCAATACTAAATAAATTATAATACCATACAGAAAATTCTCAGCCAATTTTGTCCTTTCTCTACATCTTTATGTTATAAGCCCAAGAATCATTTCAAAATTATATTCTTAAGCAGTTGTCTTTTAAATCAATTAAGATAAAAGAGGAAATATTTATTTTATGATCTTTTAAATTCCATATAAAATTACTTTTTTGCCAATGCTCTTCATTTCTTCATGTGGATTTAATTACATTTCAGCAGCACTTCTGGGAAGGCAGATGCGATGGCAATGCATTGTCTCAGGCATTTTTCATATGAGAACATCTTTACTTTGCTGTCATTATTGAAGGTTTCTCTGGGTATAGAATTATTGTATTGGGTTTTTCATTTATAACTTTAAATACATCATTCCCATGCATTCTGGTCTTATCATTTAAGGTGAAAGTTCAGAATTACTATTTCGTGTTTTAAAGAAAAACATTTAATCCCTTTATTTTTACTGTCTATTTGGTGATTGCCATCTCACTTTATTTCTTTAAACATGAATTTTTAGTGCTTTGAAAAAATTTATAATTGCTTTAAATTTTGTATCTATTAATGTAACATGTGGGCATCCTTAAAGCAATTTCTAGTCATCTTCACCACTGTCCTTTCTCAAGGGGACCATGATCTGTCCTGC